AATTAACCCTACTTTACATTGGCAAATGAGGGGTGTGGGATAGACTTACCTCCACGTGGTGCACCCTGGACAACGTATACTCATACGACGAAAAAGTCTCTTAACCGGCAGTTGACTTCAGACTCCAAACTACCATCACCCCACTGTATGTCAAATTCGACTACTTCAACCGTACTCACATCACCTTTTTTCCAACTTTGTGTCCGTCTCTTAAATTTTTGAAACACTCTTCAGTTCCCTCCTCACGACTTTTTTCACTTAGATGTTTCTTCCCCTCTGTGAAGCCTGAAGTCAACTAAAGAGCTAATTATAACCATCCAAACACCTGCCATTTGATAAATATATAAAATAAAATAAACATTGGCAAATGAAACGCTTTTTAGCATTTAATTTGATTTATTTAAATAGCCTTTTCCCCTAGGTATAATAAATAGCGAAAATGGATAGGAAGTTCTGTTGTCATTTCAGAATGTTTACGAGGGGCAGTATCACTATTACTATGACAATGGAAATAATATTTTCACTTTTCAATCACGGGCAGGTTACAATAAACTCAATTAGTCCGGAAAGTGGTACACAAAGAGGGCATGCCATAGGCATAACACCACCGAATCTAAACAAAGAAATCTCATGGGTACTCAAAGGTGAGACCAAGCAACAATCAATAGTCGATGCGTTATTGGTCCACCCTTAACTCAGTGACCTTTAAACTATAATACTTGTTTTCTATTGGGTAATTAAGGCAGTAGTGTAGTTGGTAATAAGCTAGTATATTTAAATTTTACTACACGTTTTATTTGTTAAAATATCTAATATAAAAGCACATTTTTAGCACAGTTGTGTGCACTAAATTTCGTCATTTAATCATGTCAAGTGTGAAAGAATCAAAAAAAGGAACCCCATAACTTAATAAAAATATAACATCTCTAATGAATAAAAAATTTATTTATGATTGACAATTTGTTATCAACATTTGACAATATCGACATATAAGAATTTAGTTGTTTTTCAAAATACAGGACAATTTTACGCTATGGACCAATGAGAGACGGTTAGTGTTTATGTTAGTCATGTGCACACAGTGGTAAGAAATCGATATTACTTAATCAGATGGAGAAGTAAAAAAAATATGTTAATCGGCAGATGCATTTTCAGCGGTTGTAGTGGTTTGGGCTGTCGGTATGGATCCAGTTCTGGTAGTCGTTGATTTGCTCTTCTCCTTCGGAATGTCTCTGATATTTCTTCTGAAATCACAAATGAAAGGAGCAACAACCAGACGCCACAAACACATCCGGAACATAGGCCATGTTATAAGGTAGATGAAGAAGTTTATGGATGAGTTAAGAAGGGTGCCAATGTAGGCCATTGAGGCTGTAATGTAGCGCAGTAAATAAATTAAACAATCGTTATACCCGAATGCGACCATGATGCGTATAATTCCATTCGGCAAAAATGGAAACATTAAAAACACGAATGACACAAGAACAATCATAATCGTTTTGTGGACTCGCTTGTTCATTCGTTCGATTGCCATAGCGTGTTTACTATCCCCAGCTGAATGCGTCTTCCTCCAGATTTTTAGACTTCGAGTTTGTAACAAAATACGCACGGTGAAAAAAGTCAGAAGACAAAGAGGTGAGAGTGTAAAAAATAGGGCGTCTGTCAGGCCTTCAATGGAAAATACTATTATGCCTTCATCACACATTTTCAGCAAATTAAAAGTGAGAGTCAAAATAGTTGGGATTCTAACCAGAAGAGTGAACACTGTTAGACCAATAAACGCCCTTTTCAACCACTCCCCATTTTTAATCTGCTTAACGTGGAGGGGGTAGCATATGAGCATAAAGCGTTCAAATGCAATGAAGACAATCGTCCAATTACGATAGAAATCAACAAACTTGGATATCAAATCACAAATGAAGGAGTAAGTGTATTCGGCCTCTACTCCTAAATGGAGCAAACCACCGATAAGTCTTGTAAGGGAAAGTATTGTAAGGTAGAGGGTATCTTCAATGGAATTGATGATAAGGAGGTAGCGAGTGGTCATTTGCGTAATGGGATAAATGGAAAAGACGAGAGTGCAAGAAATACTGGTAATAAGTCCAATGATGGTGATTGGAGTACCGATTATAACTACTGTCACAAAGTGCAGTCTACTTGTTACTTCTATCAAGGGCAGTCTGCTGATCCATGGTAATGTGTAATTGGGGAGTAGACACTCGGGAGAAGGGAGGGTGCTGTTGCAGGCTTCCTTGAGCATGGGCGAATTTCGTCCTCCCTCTCTCAGTGCTTGGTTTTATTAATTCAAACGCTTTGCCAATCACAGAACGCAGCAAATCAAGATGACACTAATTGGCCAATGAGCGGAAAGTTACCTAAAAGTTCGAGCACATACCAGACGTTGGATACTTATCTCAATATTATCGATGCTTTAACCGAAATTATGAGGTATTTTATTCTTTCGCAAGGAATACTTTTGCCAAAATTCTTGTGGAATTAAAAAAAGAATAACTGTGTAATAATCAACAATGTTTATTATACTCATTTTTATCTTATATCAAATGGTAGGCCCTGTGATAGTCATCATTAGCTCTTTAGTTGACTTCAGGTTTCACAGAGGGAAGGAACATCATAGTCGCAAAAGTGGAGAGGGGGAACAGAAGAGGGTCCACAGATGAAAAAGAGACAGAGAGACAGACACAAAAGCAGAAAAAAGGTAAAATGAGTACTGAGGAAGTGGTGGTATATGCCATAGTGTCGGGTCAAGGTCAACTGCTGGTTTATAGACTTTTTTACCTTATGAATATCCGTTGCTCAGGGAGCACCACGTGGAGGTAAGTCTATCGCACATCCAGTGTTTATAATACTAATTGAAGAGATGGACTGAAGAGAAATCTCCAATTCTATTCATTGAAGCAGAGTAAGCAAAAAACCTAATTTGGAGGTTCTTTAAAAATGGCAAAAGGACGTGTTATAAACTTACTGTTCTCAAATCTCCTCGAATTTACTCCAGCGGCACTAAGTTAAAATAGGTTTATGAGAAACTTAGACAAATGAAGGCGATATCGCTAAAAATTTTCAGTTTTGAAAGAATTCTTTTTCGAACGATATTCGTAAATTACTCTTACACAGTGCGCGGGAAATTGATGCTGTATTGGAGTATAATTGCCGCAAATGTATTTACTATCCCCCTTAAATACAATGAAACAACCGGATATGAATTACTTTAGAATTGATAATATGTTCGTAGGCATTTTCAACTTGCTCACGTTGACAACTTGGAGTTAATGAAAGCATACAAGTCGTGGATTGTGAGGAATTAATCCCCATTGGTGATCGGTTCTTACATGAAGAGTGAGGTGAAAGGATTCTCCATACTCGATCGCTTTCAAAAACTAACATTCTTTTAGGGCCTAGCATTGTTAAAGCCCTCTGAGTTCACAAGATGCTGCATAAACATAATCATGATAACACAAAAATGGACGATTCTGAGTAATGACAGATACACATTGGGGAACTTGAGCTTGTCATTTACGCTCCACCCCTCACACCCCCCGTCGTGACTACAGGGGCCTCGAAACCAATCAGCAATCAATAGTCAGAGCATTGTTACAGTATGCCGAATTTATTTTTTTATGGCTAAGCCTTGTGTCAGTGACCAGTAAACTTTACTAAGCGCTAATCACTACATAAACTCTGGCTCCTCGACACTATTGGTCAATTTCGTAACCATTTTATACACGGTAGGTTTTGTTGGAGAAGACTGTTGACGTTTAGACAAGGCCTATTTGTGTAGCATCTGCTACAGCTCTCACTTATCTCAATTCAAAACAAAACTTTTTATTGCATAATAATCTGTTTATTTTTAATCGATTACAATTATTATTAAAGATTGTGTTCAATCCCATCAGTTGGGTTATCCAACCGCTTATGAATTGTGTCTAAAGGGGTTGGAGAAAGTTAATTAAAGGAAGAACATTACTTTCAACTAAATTATTGACTGTGGGACGCTATATCGTTCTGTGCGTCATCGTATACCTGCATGTCTGCTCGCCAGGATTGGGAGGTGCGGCCGTACAACTCTGTGTGCAGCGACCGTACAAACAGTGACCAATCATCAACCTCTGTTTAACCTAATTCCCCATTCTGATCATGAGTAGCTCCCTGCGTGTGCACACTTGATCCGCAAGATACTCACTGAATAAACGTGCTCCGTGCTACATGTCTGTTTCCTTTATAACTGGGCTAAACCTTAGCAAATTCCCGGGGGCTTTCGAGTTGGAAGAAACTGCTATAGAGCTTTCTGAGAATAGTCAAGGTTATTGAGGTAGCTAATTCGCTAAATGACTAACCTTGTTCTCCGCTTAATCAGTANGATTTTAATTAACATAGGCCTCATTAAAATGAAGGAAATGCCATTGCAAATCAAAAAGTTTGTTCAATAAGCCACATTCTCTTCGGTTTTGCCTTCTTATTCTCCTTCTTCTTGGCAACTTCCATTGTTTCATTTTCTACTTTCTTATTCTCCTTCTTTGTTGTTTGCTTTGTGGGGCTTCTTCTCTTCCAGAGGATTGGTTTCTGGTGCTTCTCTTGAATTTGCAGCTTTACTTACTGAAGTCTCTAGCACCTTGGCTAGTGAGGTGGGAGAACGAGTCGGGCTGTCTTCTTTCGGCGTTGGGACAGTAGTTTGGACTTCATCAATAAAAGTTTTAGTTCCAGTGGTTGTGATGGCCACATTGTGGTTCGATGACAACGGTCTACTGCTGTTGTTGTCTTGATGATCGATATGGAAATTGCGATTTTATATTTAGCCTTTTCGAACACACTCTTCTCCCAACTCTCAATTTCCTCTTGAAGTTAATTATATTTCGCCCGAGTTTCCTCCTCATGTTTCGTCTTGTCTTTCTGGACTCCAGGTTCACGCGAGTGCCCTCATAGCAACCGTTGTCTGAGCAAATGAATTGACATGCTTCATTATAGCAACCGTAACCATAGCAACCATCCATCACACACATTGGGTTCTCACAACCATGGAAAATTAGATTTGACGCACCGAGCAAACTCCTACTTGGGAGACCATCATACCGACATCCACCAGCATTACAAACGTAAGAACAGAGCCTATTTTACAATGAAATCCATACATGTTCTTAAGTCTGCAAATGGGATCATAGCAGTCCATGAAAATGTAATATGGTATTTGATAAGCGATCGCAGTTGCTGCTGCAAAATCGAGAAAGATTAAGAAATATTTCATAGTCAAACTGCGCAAATGGAGTCAATGCTAAGCACTGTGGTATGTATATTTATATATACTAGGAAAATTAACAGTACCTTTTCCAATACAATTAACGAAAAACTAACAAACCATCTAACACTGTAACTATGGTTTTGGTTTGTGAGTCCTTTTCTAAGTACTCATGCTGATACTATAAAGCTGACATGTATACATTAAATAATAACGTTATTTTTACATTGGCTTTAACTTTTGTACACATTTCAATTTTACCAAATATTTGTGAATGATGACCATGTTAAAAATCATTTGTTTCCTTATCTTAAATGTGTGGGAGAAGTCATCGCTTAACGCGTCATCGCAGACACGCACGCCAGGATTGGGAGGTGCGCCGTACAGCTCCGTGTGTAGCCACCCTACAACCAGTTTCCAATTGAAAGCCTCCGTTTGTTTAACCTAATCCGCCATGCTGATCATGATTAAGCTCCCTGCGTGTACACTTTATCCACAAGGGGTGTGCGATAGACTTACCTCCACGTGGTGCACCCTGGGCAACGTATACTCATCTGGCAAAAAAGTCTATAAACCGGCATTTGACTTTTGACTTCAAACTACCATGGTCCGACTGCTTGTCTTATTCGACCCCTTCCACAGTACTCTTCTTCCTTTTTTCTCTACCCTTGTGTCTATCTACCTCTTTTATATCTGTGAATCGCTCTTCTGTTCCCCACCCCTCGACTTTCTTCTACTTTAATGAACCTTCCTTCTGTGANCATCGTATACCTGCATGTCTGCTCGCCAGGATTGGGAGGTGCGGCCGTACAACTCTGTGTGCAGCGACCGTACAAACAGTGACCAATCATCAACCTCTGTTTAACCTAATTCCCCATTCTGATCATGAGTAGCTCCCTGCGTGTGCACACTTGATCCGCAAGATACTCACTGAATAAACGTGCTCCGTGCTACATGTCTGTTTCCTTTATAACTGGGCTAAACCTTAGCAAATTCCCGGGGGCTTTCGAGTTGGAAGAAACTGCTATAGAGCTTTCTGAGAATAGTCAAGGTTATTGAGGTAGCTAATTCGCTAAATGACTAACCTTGTTCTCCGCTTAATCAGTATGTACTTTTGGTTACAAATTTGTAGATGAAAAGAACTTTTCGCAGCAGTAAAAGATAATGGATATTTGTTAAAGAGCATTGTGGCTTAAAAATCACCCTGCGCTCCTGCTATTAAGACAATAATTTTTAAATTCCATTTTATTTCGTCTCATTATTCAAATTTTCATGCATAATTGTAATAGAAATTAAGTATATCTTCTAACCATGTACCTAATTAAAGCACACTCCATTAAAGCCGAGATCAACACGACAAAAAATCTCTTAATTACTTTAAGTTCATGGGGTGTGAGATAGACTTACCTCCTCGTGATGCACCCTGGGTAACGTATACTCATACGGCAAAAAAGTCTATCAACCGGCAGTTGACTTATGATTTCAAACCTCCATCACCCCACTGTATGTCATATTCGACCCCTACACAGTACTCACCTTACCCTTTGTGAGCCTTGATGTCTGTCTGTTTCTTTTACATAAGTGAATCACTCTTCTGTTCTCCCTCTCGACTTTTTTCAATTTGATGTTCCTTCCCCTCTGTGAAGCCCGAAGTCAACCAAAGGGCTAATGATAACTATCAAAACGCCTGCCATTTGATATAAATAAATATAAATACTTTAAGTTCATTAAGGTAATGAAAGGTAGAGAGGTCGAATAATTAGAAGAAACTAAAATTTATTGCGAGTCCTTAGGTCATATTTAGACAAATATTTTCGTCTTTGAAACCAGGAAACGACACTTTAAGTAAATACAGTTGTGGTGCTTAAAGCAAGTCGTGTTTGTCCTGCGGCTATCAAACGACCATATTTTTTACTAAATTTATTATTCCATTGTCTGGTTTAGTGCCTTTGAAAAGGGAAGAAATTAAACAAAAAGTCTGGTTGCAAATATTCTCGCAAAATTCTCTGAAAAAAGAAATGATGCCTGAATTTATGATGCTTCCGTTTATCCGTGAATAAATGGGGTGCAAGATAGACTTACCTCCACGTGGGCGACATATTCACATACGGCAAAAAGTCTATAAACAGGCAGTTGGCACTTCAAACTGCCATTACCCACACTACATGTCATATTCTACCACTTCCACAGTATTCACCTTACCTTACCTTTATCTTTACATTTGTTTCCGTCTGTCTGTCTCTCTAACATCTATGAATTGTTTTTCTGTTCCCCTCTCGACTTTTTTGAGACTTTGATGTTCCTCCTCCCCTCTGTGAAACCCGAAGTCGACTAAAGGGCTAATGATGTCTACCAAAACGCCTGCAATTTGATATAAATGAATGTTGGCACATGGAAAATATTTAAAATAAAACAAATGTAAATTTTTAATTAGCTTTAGCGCNTTTATATATATATATATATATATATATATATATATTTCAAATGGCAGGCGTTATGATAGGTATCATTAGTCCTTTAGTTGACTTCGGGCTTCACAGAAAGGAAGAGGAACACCAAAGTGAAAAATAGTCGAGAGGGGGACAGAATAATGATTCACAGACGTAAATGAGACAGGCAGACAAAGGTAGAAAAAGGGTGAGGCGAGTACTGTGAAATTAGTCAAATATGAAATGCAGTGGGGTCTTGGTAGTTTGAAGTCAGAAGTCAAATGCCGGTTTATAGACTTTTTTGCCGTATGAGTATACGTTGCCCAGGGTGCACCACGTGGAGGTAAGTCTATCGCACACCCCGACATTAAACATATAATTCAGATTCAAGGATTAATTGAAATTGTTAAAAATGTAACCTTACTCTGTTTCGTCATGAACTAAGATGGATGTGTTTATTGTTTGCAATATGATTATAGGACCAAATCTTTTAAAAACAACATAACACCCAAGCGTATTATTGCTTCAGATCCAGAGACCTGTTAATATGTAGAATCAGGCATATGCTGACGAAATTAATGACTGAGGAGTTAGAGATTGAAGAATTCAAACAATACAAAACAATCTCTCAAATAAGCTTCTTTTAAAACTGTCCGATTTGATATTTAAGGCAATTGGAGTCAGTGATGTTTCCCGCGTTATAATCCATCATAAAGATTTAAACTTCATAAAATGATAAATAAGATCATCTTTCCAAAATATTTGGACGAATTTCACAATTAAATAACAGTGACGTTTAAAATGATGGTGAAAGAAATCGATCAATGGGAAATTTTTATATCGCACCACAACATACAGATAACGACACAACATATAAGAAGTGAACTAAAGCATCTCAGAGTTGAAGTTAAAAATCGGAGCCTCTAACAAAATAAGAGCGCTCAATACAAGCAATAAACTGATTGGCGGTCTNTCCTCATCATCCTTGTACATTTGCACATCGCCTTCCGAGAAATAGGAGTCCAGCATCTGTTTGCCCCACTTGAATCGATTTAATCCCGACCACATGATGAAGCTTGAGACCATGAAATCCACCATCTCATGATCATGACTCTGCAGAGTTGAATCTCGGCGCACAATCTCAAAACTGTCTGTCAATATAGCCACAAACATACTCAACATAATGAAGATGATGAATAGAGAGAAACCGGCGAACACCATGGGGCCAAGAATCGGTTCGCGTTCATACATACCCTTGACATCGAACTTCCCCAGAACAATCTGGAAACTTGTTTGCATGGAGGAGATCATGGTGCTGTACGCCGTCATGGTATCGTAGAAAAGAAGATAAAATGTGGCCACAAATGAGAAGAAAATCAACGCGAAAACAATGAAGAAGTACTTCATATCACGGTTGGCATAGGTTAGAACGGAACTCAGTAGACCAATATTCCTGTTAAAACGTAGAATATGCATAAAGAGTAGGATAGCCACAAATGTTATGAGAGCGACCAGATAGGAGAGAATCTCATTGCAGTTGGCAACCTTCTGGAAATTAGCGTATCCATTGCCGTTAGAACGATAGAATTCCAGGGTAAGCTTCTTGACTTCTATGCTGATGTAGATGTAGATTGCAATGGCACTAAACGAACTGCAAATGATAAAGATCTGAGCCCAGGCATGGAAAGTACCAAAGTAATTCAAACGTTTTCGCCAAAGATTTCTCAACTCTTTTATCAGTAGACCAGCAAGAGCCACCACAAACAGAATCTGAAAGTGAAATGAATGAGTGAGAATACGAAGGTCAGTCAAAAATGGCATTGAGCAGTAAAACGAACTTGACAAGCCAATTCGAAAGCCTTGACACTACTCATTGAGAATGACAGTAGATTAGCAGGTTCTATTCTGAAAGATGGAATGACACCACCAGTGCCAGGAACTTCGAATTTTATCACGGTGATGCCAAAAAGGTGACTTCCGGGATTATATGTGGCAAGTTCAATGATAACTGCTCTTGTTCGGTGGTCTATCCATCCCTGTTCACGAAGTTTGGCGGCTTCTTCAAGGAGCTGTGATATACTTCCACGAAGTTCGTGGACATAACCACCACCTGAATAGATACCCAATTCACCTTGAACTAGATAGCCATCCCTTTCCTCGGCTTTTGTGTAACGATATTCAAGTTGAAGTCTGTGATGATCCAATNGTTAAATAGGATCCGCATTTCCTCGACGACTTTGCAGGATTCTTTTCAAAGTGCCAAAAAATGAATAATTTATTATTAAGTCATGCTCTTGAATGAACAAAATTGATAAATGCAATTTGCCGGCTTTGGATTCTTAATCATTACTTTAATCTCGTATTCGTTCTTCTAATTATGCACTTATGTACGAATTGAATCCACCTGTAGATAGATTTGACTCAATTGTTGTCAGTGGTAGGACGATGAAAAAACAAAACAGAGTGCCCATTTTCTACATTCATCAGGGTAGAAAAGCACTAAGTACTATTTGGGGATAGAGTGGCTATTTAGATATTATGTAGTGGGATGTGCATAGACTTAACTCAACGTGATGCACCCAAGGAAAAGTTTACTCACGACAAAAGGTTTATAAATCGGCGCTTGACTTCAAACTACCATGAGCCAACTGTAGGTCATATTCCACTACTTGCACAGTACTCATCTTATCTTTTCTATCTGTCTGTTCCACCTCTCGACTTCTTCTCACATCAATCTTCCTCCCCTCTGTGGAGCCCAATTTCAGCTAAAGTGCTAATGACAACTATCTCAAAACCAAAAATTTGATATAGAAAATATTACCAACGTGATAAAATATTGAAATTTGACAACACCTTTACGAGAGCCAGATTCCATTATATATACTACCATTCAATCAGCCAGTGGCATTCTCGAGTGGAACATTGAACTATTTCAATTGACCGGATTGTAAGCGTAAATATTTTGTTCTTATATGAACAATAGCAAGCGTTATTTTTTGGGTTATGAAAAACTCAAATTAGCAGCAGACAATAACAAAGGGAAATAAATATCCTTTTTACTGATTTTCTCCACTGTATGACAACCAAGACAATACGAGCAGAATTAAGTAGTTCAAAATACACAAGATTCGCCAATTATATTCACGTAGGAATTGCATTCATGCGAATGACTACAAACTCAATTTCAGATCGACTTCTGACAAATCAGTACAATATAATCACGTATGTTTTAGAGGCATTAGAAAAACCAACCTTCCCGAACTCGAACTTGGCGCATGGTAGCATATCCCATAATTCGATTCATTCGGTCACCAATAAAACCACGTTGTCCTATTGGTGGCATACCATTATACCACTTTCCGGCTCTTAGATTCGGCAGCAGGACCTTCTCTAGCCAATTCCAAATGCCATCAATGGAATTAATCTAAAACAAGAATAAATAAATGTTACAGCTTCTTTGTGTTGAATTCTATTGATTGTGAAAAAGATTCCAGCATACATTTACGAAATCGTCACCATTGAAGAAGAGAGAAGTGAGGCTTTCCCTCAATCTCATTGCCATGGGATCACGGAAACCATTTGAGACAATAACGAGGAGGGTAAAGAAGACGACGAAGAAAAGTAATTCGCGAAGCATATCGAACATTTGGCGCGTTTTCTGACGATGAATTCGAGCTCTTTCCAAGGTTTCTGGATCCGGAGGTCTAATTACGTAGTTTTCAATCCTCCCTCGAACTAAAATGGAGGATGAAGTGCTTTACTGTTACTACTACTTCCACTACGACGACGATGATGACTTACGAATTTCCTCATGTAGATACTCCTCCCCATAATTAAGTCGGTATCGACGTCCCAGTTTGTCCATCAGTGATTCATCTTCCTCTGCAAATTCTCCAATGTCTGAAGTGTCTGCTTTCGACCTACAGATTACAGCGAAGAATATTGCGAAGAGGATGACCTAGGAGGATTTAAAATCCATCAATACTAAATACAGTCTACTAATAGGTGTAAAGTAGTGAAGAGACACACTTTAATGGGTTGTGTCAGGCAAAGGTCCATAAAGAAGGAAACGAAGAGAGAAGATAGCCACTGTTTGCAAGCAGCGTCGCCGAAACTGATTCCGTAGAATGTGGTGAAGACAACCGACGCTGCAATGGCTCCAATAAGGAGGAACCAAGCGAGAATGCGCATTTGCCAAGGAAAAGAAATGTCTCCAAGTTTGCTTTTCAAGGATTCCTTACCCTTTTCCTCTATTTCCTTCTCAGACAACTCCGGTGTTTCTGAATAGGACTGTCGAGGTTGGTCAATGCCGGCACTAATATAAAAATATTTTCTCTATTATATTCAAGTGCAAAAAATGTTGTTAATTTTAGCAAATATTTAAATTCCAGAATTTCAAATTAGACTGACATCAACAAAATGAGCTCATTTGGAAATTTGGGTAATTGGTTCTCACAATCTTTATCCTAAAACGGTCTTATTCTCCTAAAAAGGTGTAGTTGCATATGATTTCATAAAACTCTTTTATATAGACATGCTCGAAGCGTTGTTTTAGCTTCCAGGATCTGTTTTTGGTTTATTAACTCCCAAATTAAATATCTCGAATCTTGTGGCCTCAACGATATAATAGTAAAAAGTTGACGTTCGAGTTCGATGCGAATATTTGCGTTTAGAAACATTGACAGTTGGTTTCCGATCGACACCGTGAATGTCTATGATCAGAGTGATTTCAACAGTTATTCTCTAAGCGACGCATCAGTCTTGTGAATATGCGTGAAGGAACTTGGAAGTTACTTTTTTGATTGCTTATTTTGAAATTTAAACGACAGTAATATAAAGACAATTTGTACTCACAAATCGTTTTTGCTGGATTTATCGAGTGTCTAATGGAGGCGTTCGCATTAATTTCAGCCTCGCTCAGTACCTGTGGAAACCATAGTCTCACAAAACAACATGAATTCCTATTATTGTAAGAATGTGGAAACGCTTTTCAAAAGATAACAATGAAGGGCGATTAGAAATTGTGCTCCAAGTGACATGAGTGTTCACAGCACTAAACGTACGGGTGATGTAGTTGCGGTCCATTTTCCCTAATAGTATTCTCACAATCGTCATCTTCCAATTCTTCATCCAGATGATCTTCCACAACACCCCTTAGCAGAGTTGTATGACTGACCCGAAGCTTGGAGTTCCTGAAGAGTAGCATGATCAGTGTGACAGGAACAAAGGTTATGAGACACGTTACAGCTCCTGTATAGGCCTAAAGTCAAGGCAGCAAATGTCATAAGGGTGGGGGCATTGAATGATACTTCCTAAAATGAAAACTCAGACTAACCACATAAGGTGTAAGGGCAAACGGCCCAATCGTGAATTCGAAATCAACGACTTCCGGCCCTTCATTCCTGTAAAACATGCAAGATGAGACCATGGTTAGGAAGAGAATCAAAAGACAGCAGGCGACTCTTTCAACACGAGTGAATCGGGAGTGAGCAGGACGTGTGAAAATCGAAGCCCAGAGGTGGTTATCGCTTGCATCACTCTTCACCTTGTGCGAGAATATATAATAGACTCGAAGTCTATCAATTGGTCCTGCGACTGGAATTACACGATCAACCTAAAACGAATACGCTTAAAGAAAACTAAAATTTAACTAGGGATTGAAGTTGAGGACCACGCCATACCAGACCATCGCCTTCATCTACACCAAACCACTTTTTAATAATGAAGTTGAAGCGAGTTTTTGTCTGCAGATCGATGACGCAGACGAAATCGCAGTACCATGAAGCACTATCCCCTCTCCCACGGTTGTCATGCCACAGTCGAAGGAAACGTAGGTCACCAAGTGATCTGAAATGTAAATAAGCGAGGTTTAAGCAAAATTGATTGTTGAAATTCCTTTCTGTTAGAAATAACGCTTATGGATTGTCCGCCTCTTTTGGATTTAATAAACTGTATCTGATGTGGATGTGTGAGTACATTGACATAAATATTCATCCAATTCAGAAGATAACTAATACTTTATTAACAGTCATATTCTCTCCAATTACTCTAGATATGTTACTAAAGTCCACTTCGAGAAACCATTTCTACCAACCCCTCTAGAATATGCTGCACGTTGGGATGTAACACAAGAAATTGAATCAAAACATGATAGAATTCCCACCTCCCGTTCATTTTTTGTTGTGTATCGTTTATTAACAATAATAGGCAATTATTAAAAGGTAAAATCACAATTTTTTAAAGGTACATTTAGAGGTGCTATAAAGTTATCGACCTGTTGAAGTAGATGGAGGTTGAAGTGTCACTTTTAAAAAGCGAAAAACATTTCTCAGTTTATTCTCAATCAATGATTTAACCCATTTATTACCTCAGTGTAAAATGAATCTCCCCACTAAGTGAATTGAGCTCAATAATTTCAAAAAACTGCTGAGTTAACTTCATCTTTCTTTCCATCTCTTCCAAAAATCCTTTAATGAACATTCAAAAGACTTTTTTGACGATGTAATGCAGTGCTTCTTTAATCCGCACTTTGAATAATCCCTATTCAGTAATTAGCAGAAATTCACATATCGAAGTGTTGATACATAACTTGATCCTAATCAACCTCCCATTTTGATTGGTTGGCTACATTCAACTCCATTTGGTCATCACCAAGGCAACATGCTGGTCTGGGAAAGTGCAGTGATATTGAACTCAGTCGTCTCAAATACAAAGCTGAAACACTCAAGGTCTTAACAATTCCAATTAGCAAATTCATTAGTTTATCTGGCGTCGATGTGAAAATAAAATTGTGAGCAGATCAGAACATTTTCTATTGACAAACACTTTTACAAATTTCAGGGTTCTAAAAAGACAAAGTAATTAATTTTGTTAGAATCCATTGTTATGAAGAGAGATTTTTAAATATTATTTCGAAATTTGATATTTTCGGAGAGAACGCATATCGGTAAATTGCCTTAAAATTAAATAAATCCAACCTCACTTAACTCTTGTAGCATTCATTATCTTCCCAAAAATTATTGAAACTTAAAGGTGAAACAACAATAATAATGA